ATGCCCCCCACCATGTGCAGCTGAGGATGAACTTGAACTCCTGACTCTCTGGCTTCCACCTCCCAAGTGATGACAGGCAGGCAGCACCATATGGTGCTAGGGATGGAACCCAGGGCTTCATGCACACTAAGCAAGCGCTCGACCACCTGAGCTACAGCCCCAGCCCCTGCTCCCAATGGACTTGGCCTCGGCTTGTGCTTCCCATCTCTGGGCCCGGAACCAGTGATGTTTAGCCCTGACCTTTGTCAATTGTATGGCCCTGGTTGTCTCCTCAGTTCGCCAAGGCTTGGTTTTCCTCTGGGAAGGAGGACCACCTGCTCAGAGGCCTCCCTGTCCCCCTCCTAACCTCTCCACTCATTCCCAGACCCTCTGGCCTCCTGTTGTCCCTTGAGCTCACCAGGCACATTCCTGCCTCAGGACCTTTGCAGCTGCTCTTCTCTCCCCTTGGAACTGACCCTCTCCCCATGGCCCCATGTCTCCCTTCTTGCATCCTCTAGGTTTAACTCAAATTTTGCTTTCTTTCTCTGAGGTCTTGAAAAACAGCAGACATGTTGCAACCACCTTCCTACCTTTATTTCTCTCCAGAGCACTGGGTACCACCTGGAGTTCTTACTTGTTTCATACCCTGCTGGGGTGCACACTTCACCAGGATAGGGGCCCCAGCCCCTCCCACATAATATCCAATTCAGAACACTGGTGGATGACACAAATTCTCTGGAACAGCTGTGTAACAAATAGCGCATGGTTTAGGGGCTGGGGATGTGGCTCAGAGGGTAGAGTGCTTGCCTTGCATGTGTGAGGTTGAGTTCAATTCCCAACATCGGCACTCACAACACATCAACCAGGTATGGTGGTGCATGCCTACAATCCCAGTACTTAAGAGGTAGAAGCTGGAGGATTAGAAATTCAAGTTCAGGGGCCTGGAGAGATGGCTCAGTGGCTAAGAGCACTGGCTGCTCTTGCAAAGGACCCAGGTTCAGTTACAGCACCTACATGGTGGCTAACTGTAACTCCAGTTCCAAGGATCCGACAACCTCTCTGGCCTCCAAGGGCATTGCACAAATGGGTGTGCTTACATATATGCAGACAAAACACTTATACACATAAAGATAAATAAAAAAATTTCCCCAAAAAAGAAGTTCAAGTTCATCCTTGGCTGTATATTAAGTTTGAAGCCAGCCAGGACTACATGAGACCCTGTCTCAAAAAAAAAAAAAAAAAAAAAAAAAAAAAAAGTAAAAGTTAGTAATTTATAAAACTCTGAGTCTGCTACACACAAGCCACAAATGAAGGCCCTGATTGAACTGTTGGGCGGTGGGCTGGAAACAGCTTTCTTTTAGTTCAATATAGCATTTGACCATTTAAAGGACATTTGTAAAAATCATGAAATGGTAGAGGGAAGAGCTGGGATTTCTAAGTGGCCTCGAGAAAACGGAGCAGGAAGCAGAAGGGTGATGGCAGGGGCAGGATCAAGCCCTCCTAGGGGTTGTCCCCACCCTCCAGCATCCAGAGGAAAGAGGACGCCACCCCCAGTCCCAGGAGACAGACAGCAGACCCCGTCAGACCCAGTCCCTGACTCATTATTAAAGCCACCACTAGGGGGCAGAATTGTTCAAAGAATGTCGGTGCACAAAGCTTGGTGAACCCAAGGGAGAGGATCCGGCTTGCTGGGTACCTACCACGAACCTGCCTTAGGCTCTTATGCTTAGCATCTCCTTCAGATGCTCAGTCCTCAAGACAGCCCTGGGATACACACGTAGACATCAGCTGACACCACCTGAGGGTCGCTCCATCCCCTCCCTCATCCCCTGCCCCGTGGGCCCCTTCTTCCTCCCTCAGCTCCAACCCCTGCCACACTGGACTCTTTGCTGTTCTCTGAAGCCTCTGGCAATGTTCCTACATCAGGACCTTACTCAGACGGTTTTCCAGGACATTCTCCTGAACGGTCAGGTCTAGAACTCCTTTACTGCCTTCGGACTTTTGTCTCAATGTCAGATTCCTTATTCAGAAGACTTACCGTTAACTGTGCATGTGTCTGTGTGTGACTATATGCATGTGAGTGAAGGTTGCATTAGAGGCCAGAGGCATCGAATTCCCTTGGAACTGTAGTTGTAGACAGTTATAAGGTATATGTCATGGGTGCTGGGAACCAAACGCTGGTCCTCTGCAACTGCAGTATGTGCTCTCACCACTGAGCCATCTCTCCAGTCCCAGTTTCCTCGGACTCTTTAGAAGGATCGGGCACAGGTACCAGCCACCTACTGTGTGCCGTGCACAGTGCGCTCTACCAGGGCCACCTCCTCTAATCTTGCAGCAGTTCTATGAAACTGGGGCTGGCACCACCCGTTTCACAGACACAGAGGCTGCAGCTTGGAAAAGTGCCGTTCCATGTGTGTTACCTGCCTCTTCTTGCTGGGACCATGAAGGTGTTTGTATCATGACAAATACTGAACTGGCTCAGCAAACTTCCCTAAGTTACTCCATTTTGTTCAGAGCCATTTCAGCAGCAACTTTGCTCCACACCGAAAGGAAAAGGGGGGCAACCTTGGGCCTTGGAAAATTGCCCTCGCCATGAATCATGGAATGTGCTAATTCCAGATATTATATTTTTACTAACCAGCTTATTTTCGCTTCTGTAACCTGCTTGCTGTCTTGGGTCTCCCTGACACAGGGCACAAGACCACCCTTGTTATCCTGTTATTGTATGACCACCTAGAAGTTATTTACCTTGACTGTCTTATTTTACTTGTTATGGCTAAAGCAGTTGGCTAGTTTTTAATGTCACAAAGTTGAGTGCCAAGTTATATGACTGTATCACTTATCTGTACAATGATTGGTTGTTAATAGAATCAAAATACTGCTATGTTGTACAAACCTTATTGGTTCACAAATGTCCTGTTTTAATAATAATTCTGTAATCCTATAAAAACTCTGACTTAACAATCATCAGGGCTGCTTCTGCTCCCGAGATAGACAGCCCGGCCGGTCGAAAATTAAAATTTACCTTGCTACTTTTCTTAAAGTGGTGTTGGTGATTTTTTTTACAAACTCTGTCCTATAACAGTTAGGTGGCACACCCCACATCAATGGGCTGGTGAGTGTCAGGGGCTGGACTCAAAACTCCAAGTCCATCAGATTCCAGAAACCGAACTCCTTACTTTAGTGAAATTTTCTACAAAGAACCCCACCTTATACCAAAGCTTTTGCAAGACTCGTTGGACCCATCAGAACTTTAGTGATTGTAAAGAGTTTGGAATGTTGCAAGTCCAGAGTCAAACTATCTTGGGCCAAGCTTAGGCCCCTTAATTTATTGCCCTTACTTGTGTGTGAGCTAACATCGTTGTGACCACTAAGCGAGTCTTTAGAATGTACATAACCCAACTCCCACCAACCGAAAGGCCAAGAGTGCCATCTGACTCAGTGCATCTGAAGCCTCTAGCGGAGACTCCCTGCTTAGCTGTAACCCACCTACCAGATGTTCCTACTCGTGTATTTGAAAAGTGTCTTAATTTATGGCTTTCCTTGTTCTGTTGTTAGAAAAACTTCATGAAACTGTTACCGTGTCAGAACATGGAATTTGGGGAAATCTGAATCCATGTTACTGGGCCCTAGTCACTCATATTTGGCTTCGGAATAAACTATCTCTTATCCTCTTTGAGGCGAGGGTTGTTTTTGCATTGAACCACTTACAGACCCCCTCCCCGCCCTGCTGTCTGAGGACCACCAGGCCTGGCAGGCTCACTCCCAGTGTGCTGTCTGAGATGGATCTTCCCCAGGGCCCACAGCCCTCTCCTGCCCTGGCTGGCCTCAGCCCCATGTACCTGCTCTGGGCACCTGACTTTGCACCTGACTTGCTGTCAGCAGATCTTATCTTGCCTGATTCAGAGCCCTGGGGCCCTGGGCTCCCCATCTGAAGCTGTGTGACCTTCCTATCACTAGAGGCCAGCTAGGGCGCAGAGTTGGGGCACACTCAGGCTCCACGCCAAACCCCACAAATGGGAAGAGGCTGTGGCAAGATGAGGGGGCCCTGCAGGTTTCAAGTAGCATACCCTCCCCTGGACACCTGCAGCGGGGGGCACTCAACTTGGTGAACAGGTCTGCACTTGTCCCCTCCTCATCGCAGTTGGTCAGTGCTGGGTCCCTGATTCACTCTCTCACCTGGATACCCAGCCAGCCACTGGCTCACCTGCCCTGCCTCTGAGCAGCCTCTGGGCCCTTTCAAGTCAGAGCCAGCCAGGACAGCAGCCAATGAGGTTGGCTTCTCCATGGGACAAGCCAGAGAGCATGTTATCGCTAGCTGATCTTAGATAAGGCCTCCTTAAGCCAGGCTGGCCTTGAACTCTCCATGCAGCTGAGGATGACCTTAAACTACTGATCCTCCTGTTTCTACTCTCCCAATGCTGGGATGACAGTTGTGTACCACCATGCCCCATTTATTCAGTGCTGGGGATCAAACCCTCATGCATGCCAGGCAAATCCCTACTATCTAAGTTTACCCTCAGCCCAACATACCGATTTACCGTAGGTAACCTAGTATGCCTATCAGACTCTGAACCACTAATTTCCCATGAGATCCTATGATCTCTTCAAGCTGAGGCTCTGGAGGCCAACTCCCAGCCTAGGGAGCCAGAGCTCGTGGGTGAGGATGCCCAGTGTCCTCCCACACCCACCCCCCTCCCAAGACCACTCACCTTGGGAAGCTGCCCCCAATGAGGATTCTGCCCAGGGGGTACTCGGTGTCGCCCACCGTCACTGGTGGGCTCACATCCAGGTTGCCAAAGGAATCAAGGCCAGAAGCACCCGCATACTGGATCTCCCGGGTCACGTATCTGAAGTCAGGACCCTAGAAAGGGACCAGCAGAGCCAGGCAAGGAAGGAGGGTTGGTAAGGGAGGAAGGGACCATGCCCAAAAGAGTAGAGTGCAGTAGAGTGCCTGACCCCTGGCTTTCCAGTGAAAGACGCTCTCCATATTTGGAGCAGTTAAAGATCAAGTCAGCACTGGGAGGTCAGCAGAGTCCCAGGCCCTTGATCAAGCAGCTGGTGTTTAAAGGACCCGTGGATGAGAAAGGCAAAAGAATACAGCACATTAGGGCTCGGGAGATGGCTAAGTGGGTAAAGTGCCTGCCACACAGCATGAGGACCTGAGTTCAATTCCCAGTACCTATCTAAAAACCCCAGTGTGGTAGCCCGCACTGTACTCCCAGCACTGGGGAGGTAGAGACAGGCCTTGGCTGGCACTGTGTGCTGAGAAGAGAAAAGCACCATAAACCCAAAGACAGCAGAGGCTGAGGATCACAGAGCCAAGAGCTGCCATCACTGAGAACCCCAGGCCACCCCAGGTCAGGGCTCCCTAATCCTCACCTTGCAGGACTGAAGGTCCCCCAGCCCTTCCAGGCTGGTGAATGTTCCTGCTGGTCACCCACAGGCTCTGGGACACTTCACCCACAAATTCCCACCTGGACCAGCACCATCTGCAGGAGAGGACTTGGGGCCCATACACCTGCAGAAACAGGGCCACCTCAGAGGGCAGTGCAGCTAAGAGGTTGTGCAGGCACCTGCTGGGGTTTGTCCATGGGTGCCCCATTGATTCACTGCCTTAGGCAATTTACTCAATCTCTCTGAGTCCCAATATCCTCAGTGATAAAGAGGAAACTTATAAAGAGGAAAGTTTATAAACAGCACTTATTAATAAAGGGAAGAGTGTCCTGTGAATTAAGTGTAGGTAGCCATGGAAAACTAGAGACAGTACTTGGAACTCAGTAGTTGGTGGCAGGTGCTGCTGCTGTCATCCTGTGTATAGGAGGCAGCACAGTCCTTGGCATGATCACTACAAGTACATTGCCCCCGAAAGGCAGTCTGGTGTCCCTAGGGCCAACATTGCTGAGAATGAGCCCCTTACCAAGAACACTCCCAGGATGGGGAGTGACTGCTATTTGCATGTGATTTGCATCTCATTTGCATCCCCTAGTGGAACCTCCCATTAGCTTTCCAGGTTGCTGACCCCCTTCTTCCCAGACTCTGGACCTTAAAAGACCAGGTGAAGTTCCATCAGGGCTCCCAGGGGAGGAGCCGCCCAAGGGGCCCCCTGAGCATTTGGCCACACACCAGAATCTTCTTATGGGCGAAGATGCCCCTAAATGGAGAGCTTCAGCTCTGTCCCTGCTACAAGAGGCTAGTGGACTAAGAGGGAGTTGGGTCATGTCCTCAGATCACATCAGGTGATGATGGATGAGGCAAGGCCAGACTGCAGAGTCCAGAGACAGGGCACCTAAAACAGCCCAGGCAGCCCAAGGTGGCTGTGGAGGTGACCTGGAGCTGATGCCACTGTTGGAGATGACAGTGAGTGGGCTAGCCCTGTCTACTCCAAGCAGAGGGAAGAGTGGGAGTCCCATGGAGTAAACTGGAGGCCAGGATAGGCATGGCTTACCCAAGTGAGCGCCAGGCCACTCTCTTGGGCTGGGCAGGACAGGACTGTATCCCCAGGCCTGGCTAGTAGACTTAGGCCCGCCACCCCAGTCACCTGACCCCAGTTCTTCTCTGAGTCAGCCTCGCACCCACCTGGATCCAGCGGTCATTTCTGTTCTCTGCCTCAGGACAGACCACCAGCTTGCAGTTGGCCTTTAGAGCTAGGTGGGCCATGTCCTCCAAGAACTTGTCATTGCGGCCATGGGCGTCTGTCACACTACAAGGATGGTACCACAGCTGGGACCAGAATCAGGTGGTGCCAGGCCCCATGCCCCTAAATGGAGAGCTTCAGCTCTGTCCCTGCTACAAGAGGCTAGTGGACTAAGAGGGAGTTGGGTCATGTCCTCAGATCACATCAGGTGATGATGGATGAGGCAAGGCCAGACTGCAGAGTCCAGAGACAGGGCACCTAAAACAGCCCAGGCAGCCCAAGGTGGCTGTGGAGGTGACCTGGAGCTGATGCCACTGTTGGAGATGACAGTGAGTGGGCTAGCCCTGTCTACTCCAAGCAGAGGGAAGAGTGGGAGTCCCATGGAGTAAACTGGAGGCCAGGATAGGCATGGCTTACCCAAGTGAGCAGAGCACCCTGCTTGGCCATGCCCTTCTGCCATGAATTTACATCTGGTTCATCAGGATGTCTGCCCCCAACACACACACCTGGAGGGTCTACCGACAGAGATGGCTTTTCCACTGAAGCCACCAGGATGTTGAGACATGGCAGAAGGACCTGGGCCTCCAAGCTGAGTAGTGCTCAGGGTGGGACCCTGCTGGCTGGGTACCTGAGTCCTCAGCAGATGCAGGAGTGGCCACAGCAGGGTGAAGCTGGGTCCTTCTGGTCCCTGGCAACCCAAGTATTTGTTTTCTTTTTTAAGACAGGGCCTTGTCTTAAGTAACCAAGGCTGTTCTTGAACTCCTGACTGTTCTTGTTCCTCCCAAGTACTGAGATTACAGGCACGCACCACAGCCCTTGGCTCCACTGTACAGATTAGAATCAAGCTGTTCTGGGCTCTGCAACAGGCAGGGAGCCAGGGGAGCTAGAGACAGAGCTGATGGTCTTGGTGGGATTCCCGCTGTTGTCCTGGCAGCCCTGGGCTGCGCAGCTGTCAGTAACAAGGCTGCTGAGGGAGGATGGGCCATACGGCATCCTCGTATGGCCTCTGGTTCCGATAAGGCACTGCTGGGGGCTTACCTGCACACATAGAGCTCCAGGGGGGGCTGGGTGTTGGGGGTCATGATCCAGGGGGCCACACGGAAGGCCACACTGTCTGTGAATAGCAGCACCTCGGACAGGGGCTGGGAGGGAGGAGTGCTCAGTGGCCATGTGGAACCCCTCTCTGGCCACCCACCCTGGCCCACCTCACCCCTCCCTGATGCAGCCCCCATGCTGTACCTACCCTTGGGTCCACCAGGCTAATGCTGAGCGAGACCAGGCCTGAGAAATCAGCGTCGGGGAAGGCAAGCCCTTCCACATGAAACCTGATGTCCTTCTCTCCCCGATGCCTCTCCACCTCGTAGGATGGGTGATGAGGCCCCAGCACCTGCTTGTAGTTGGAGAGGGAGGTTCCACCTAGAGACAACAGGATCAGGTCAGTGTAGGGATAGGGTGTTACAAGCTGCTGTGACAGTTACCAAAAGGTGACAGAGGCAGAGAGCTGAGGGAGGACGAGACGAAGCTGCCACTCACCCCGGGCACAGTAGACCCTCAGTCTTCTAGAATCAGATAAGGACACCTTCAAGACCAGCTTGTGGCTTTCAAAGAGTTGATCGGGGCCACTGCAGCTCAGCACCATGAGGGACATGTCCTGCAGGTCTGTGGAGAGTGGCCCCTAAAGCAACCGTCCCCTAACATCCCCTCCCTCACTCCTCACCCTGCTGTCACTCACCCTCTAGAGAACTCAGCTGACTGGCATGCAGGTCCTCCCTGGACCCGTGGCTGTCCCTGTCACAGTTAACCAGCGGGATGGCCCCAGAGCCCCCAGAGCCCCAGCACCAGGTTTTCTGCAGTAAACATGAAGTCTTGGGGTTAGTCAAGCCCAGGCTCTGGAAAGGAGGCTGCACATGACTTGGGTTGGCTGCATTGTTAGCTTGGAGACTTTTTTTTTTTTTTGAGACTGGTCTCACTACGTAGCCCTGATGGACCTGGAACTCCATATGTAGACCAGGCTGGCCTTGAACTCACAGAGATCTGCCTGGGTCTGCCTCCCAAGTGCTGGATTAAAGGTGTGCAGCACCACATCCAGCCTACCTTGGTGACTTTTATAATCTGATTTGCTTAAAGATTTATGAAGAAGTGAGCTGGAGAGATGACTCAGTGGTTAAGTGTACTGGTTGCTCTTGCAGAAAACCTGGGTTTGGTTTCCAGCACCCACATTGCAGCTAACAACTGTCTATAACTCCAGTTCCAGGGGATCCGACACCTTCTTCTGACCTTTGAGGGAATTGCATGACACATGTGCACTTACACATAGGCACAATACACTCATACGCATTAAAATTAAAAAGAAAATAAAATATTTTTTAAAAAGATTTAAGGAGGGCTGGAGAGATGGCTCAGTGAGTAAGAGCACTGACTGCTCTTGCAGGGGACCCGGGTTCTATTCCCAGCACCCACATGGCGGCTATGAATCGTCCTTAACTCCAGTTCCAGGGGAATCCGAAGCCCTCTTC